ATATTCATTTTCCTCAACAACTGCGGTTCAGCGGATGGTAGATGGGAGGTCACCAATCGTATTACGGAAATAACTCGTCCTGCTGTGCCTTACGGGCTCTCTCTCTCTCGAGCCCAACCAGCAGCCGCATAGCGGCGAATGTTACAGGCAGAATGTCATTACTCACAAAGTCAAGGCAGACCGAAATGGCCATTTCCGGCTTATTAGTCGTCGTCAATCAGTCATATCCCAGCCCATGCTAAGTGAGTTCCGCAACACGATCGGTGAGCGCCCTTCCACCATTTCCATAAAATATATTTGAATTTGCAAGACCATCGGAAATCAGTGGGAAAAAATACATGCTACATAACTAGTCATCTTCACCGAGTACGGTTTCTACAGGAGATTAAAAAGCAGTATATTCAAAAGCTGGCATCCTGCCAAGTCCGAAATGTTATAGGATCATTCCGCAAGATAATATGTATAACAACTGCGCCTAAGCATTCCTTTTTAATCGAAAACACATTGCAGAATTTTAATCAACATTTCATGAGATCGGTCACTTACTGTTAAAACCAAAAAGAGCCCAATTATGCGTTTGTCAAGATGACACTCTTACCCCATACCTCAAACGACTGCGCAGCAACCGAGGAAAGTTTAGGTAAATTACATGATCGGCTGGATAACAACGATTGAAGAGGCTGAATCAGCAGCTTACAGTGCAGAGGACGGGTTACGAAACGGATATGGGCGTCCCTTTGTCTGAGCTATGTCCTTGCAAAGCGCCCTTGGAGGCACAAAAACAAGAATGCGACGCATATGCGTTGTTACTATGTTAAACATTTACGAACAGAAGGTTTTTCTCCTCCCAACAAGCCTTTACTCCCGTGCTAGTGCAGATGTCCCTAGGACATATTTCTAGGAGAGGTGGGCGCTCATATCCGTTTCCGACCGAGGTTGTTCTCGGTGCGACGGAAAACAACCTAAAATGGGTGACCGATCTCATGAAAATGTTGGCTGTTATTCTGAAATGTGTTTTCGATTAGAAAGGTTTACTTAGGCACGGTTGTAATACTGATTAGCTTGCGGCATAATCCTATAATATTCCGAACTCAGCGGAATGTCGGCTTTTGAATACACTGCTTTTTGATCTCCTGTAGAAACTGCACTTGGCAAAAACTGACTTCATAAGTAGCATGCATTTTTCGCATTGATTTTCCATGGTCTTACAAATTCAAATATAAATTATAGAAACCCCCAACAAAATATGCTTTCTTTCAACCTTTTGATAGAGAACCACGTCATCTTTATATTTTATTCTCGGAAAAAATATAATTAGATCTTAAGAAGTTTCTAATTATGAGATTTTCAAGACCGCGCGATGTCCATTCATATAGCATCGGACCTGTCCGTTTACCACTGCTCCTCTTGACCTGTACAACACAGTCCGCATCCATTGCAAAATTTTATGAAATCTATATGATATCTTTTTAAAGGCATAGAAAAATATGCAATTTTCTTCACGCGGATCAAATGCGTCTTGTGGACTACCATCGCTAAGCGCAAATGCAACGACTGAACAGGCTCCACATTAGTCGGAAAGTAGAAAATTTCTTTAAAAGTTTATTATACTCCTCCTCCGAGAATAAAATAAAAAGCTGGCGTGGTTCTCTATCAAACGGCTGAAAGAAAGCGTATTTTGTTTGATGTTCCTATAAAATTTATTTGGATTTGTAAGACCATTGACAATCAATGTTAAGAATGCACGCTATTTGCCTAGTCATTTGTTGCCGAGTGTGGTTTCTATAGGAGTTTGAAAGGCAGTGTATTCAAAAGCCGACATTCTGCCAAGTCCGAAATATAGGATTAAGCTACAACCGCGAAAACGCGTTTCAGAATTTAGGCCAATATCTCTTGAGATCGGCCACTCACTGTACGTTAAATGGCGGTAGAGGGGGTTTTTTGGGTGCGGCAACACACAGGACGGAGAACAAGAAGACACGGAAAATAGGTAAATTTCTGCCAAAAGCCTTATAATACGCTATCATTTGGGAAAGAAAATGAGTACGATACTTAAAAACTAAACAAATGCCTATTTTCACAAACTGATGGACTTTGAATAAGGCGCCGCTAATAAGTTTACATTTAGTCAGGAAAAAAAAGGAAATTTCAAACAATGGGCACAGTGAATAATGAGTGATGTTTGCAGTCTCAGTGAATTGTAGGGTACACTTTTGCAGTTGCCATCTACTTGTGCGTCCTACGCCCTATAGTTACCCAAACCGAAATTCTGCAATGCATTTTCGGTAAGATGTGGTTCTGTAGCCGCACCTGATGGATACAATACTGTTGACCTACTTCATTATTTTGATTTGAAGTATTTTGTCCCCGGTAAGAAGCTGAAGTAGGCAAGCAGGGCGGGGTTTAATGGTACCAAAAAATTTTGCGACGGTTCGTCAGCTGCGCTCTGTCGCTTCACAACATATATAGCGAGTGGGAAGAATGTAAGAGATTCGAGTTTGTGCAGAAAATCAATGCAGATGCAACAAGGTCATGGTTTTGGGTAAAGCTAGCTAATCAACACCGTATGGGAAGAATAGTGAACAAGGGGAACACGTGATTAGTCTAACAGTGCCATGCTAGCCTCTAGCTCCATGATTTTTCCTTTCCCTCTCCTTCTTTTGCTCGTTAACTTCCTCCTTTTTCACTATTCTTCCAATACAGTGTTGAGTTACTAACTTTATCCATTAGCCAGCTTTACCCAAAACCATGACCTTGTCGATTTTTCATTGATTTTCTGCATGAATTCAGATCTGCTGTGTTCTTCCCACTCGTTATCTATGTTATGAAGCGACAGGGCGTAGCTGACGAGCCTTCGCGAAATTTTTGGATACCATTTAATCCTGCCCTAATTATTTTGATTTGGTGTGATTACGCTGACACGGTGTTGCTCTGTGTTACGGTGTGTGTCCTATTGGCGGCCTCGTTTCTTTGTTGTCGTGTCCGCCTTTTTCGGCCCAATGCTGGTGGTCCTTCTTGACGTTCGGCCTGTCGTCTCCTGCTAACTTTCACGTCGGATATTTCAGGATTAGGGTTTGAAGCTGCAATTAAGGATAGGGCTTAATAGATTTGGACTAAAGGGTTATGATTAGGGTTAGGGCCAGGGCTTAGGGTTAGGGGTTAGGGCTAGGTGTTTTGGTTAGGGATAGAGTTAGGGGTTAGGGCAACTATTTCTCACCCACTCAAATTACAATCGCGCATTTCCACCAGCTTTTTTCTTGCATACAATTACTTAACCCCATCGCAGATGGTCCTCATGTGAGCCTCCACGGTTTTCGAGTTATTAGCCGAGGCGATGACCACTCGTCGCGACAACTGCAGGAGGCCTCGGTGTCAAAGTGCCCGTAGATCAAAGCTGTCTGTGGCCTACCTGTCCGTCCGCGTGTCCCCAGCTGTCAGAGTTCAGAAGTTCAAGCCAAACCTGAGTGCTCCGTCTACCCCCTTTAAATTATACGCGCCGATAACAAGAGCCCTTCCGAGGACGCTAATTTTGACCAGGGTGTGGGGAGGGGGGCGTGGAGGTCATCAGCAGAGGATAATGGCTAACCCCGAGACGCCAAGTGGAAATCGCGATCTACGCCACGAGCAAACTGGTGGGTCGCCGGGTGCAACAGCTGACTCGAATTCCTGCCGAATCCCACCGAGGCCGCCAAGATTTTCAAAAATGGGTCAAATGAATTAGACAAATCTGCCACAAGTCCCTGCTAATTTCCGCAAATATTTCCGTGTTGCACTTGAAAAGTCAAGTTGGCAAACACGTGTTTATCGGTAATTCGTCGTCAGGCCAGTATAGTTACATGAAGGAATGAAAATGTACAACATCAACAGTTCAGAAGATGAAGATGCGATCACTGGAACAATAAATTTATTTGCCTGACGTTTCGGATTCTCACTCGAATCCATCATCAGAGACATTCGCAGATAAAGGTGATGGTGGCACCAGGAGTGCAGTATTTATGGCACGTGACTGCCGTGGAACCGTATGCTCACTGCAATTAACAGTTCTCGCAATCACCGCTGGGGTCGTAATTGATGCGGTGGTGGCTTGTCGGTCCGAGTCCGAGTTGTTAACGGGCGCGATTTCGTAATCCGTGCTGGATGCTGGTGTGACGATTGCTCGGCAAACTGGCTCACTGTCACCGTGATTATTGCTCCCCCTCGCCCTCCCCACGTGACTGATTCTCCTGCCCAGGGAAAATCGCAGTACGGAATAGGGTACCGGGAGGTCATTGTGCTTGTTGATGGATTGCGGGCCTGAGAACCATGACTCGAGCAGCTCCCGGCTCACACGGTTGTCACCCCTTGCGAGGATTTCGGCCCCTTGAACTTTGAAAATATGGCCGGGTCCCGTCGAGTGTGCCACCACCCCGAGAGTTGACGTCTCCCCGCCTCACTGCTGCTGCGTGCTCGGCAATTCGTGTGCGGAGTAATCTCCTAGTCTCTTCGACATAATTGCTTTTTCCGCAACTAAACCAGATCCGGTAAACAACTCCAGACGTTTCCTGCCGTGGCAGCGGGTCTTTTGACCTCATGACTTGGCGCCTAATGGTTGCTTCCGGCCTGTGTTCAACCCCAACTCCAAGTGGAGTGAGAAGACGACTAACGGCTTCTGAGACGTTCTTCACGTACGGAAGAGCCCGCAAAAATTTGGGGCCGGTTGGATTTGGTCTCTGGTGTCGTTTTCGTATGCACTGGTTGACAAAGTTGCGCGGGTAACCATTGGCTCTCATTACCCGTCGAAGATATTGTAATTCGGCAACCTTGTCTTCCATTTCACTGCAGTGCGTCTCAACGCGCCGGTATAGCGCCCTTACGCAACTGCTTTTGTGACTGATCGGGTGGTTGCTATTGAAGTTCAGTATTTGCGTCGTCTTTGTCGCTTTCCTGAACACTTTGGTTTTTAGGCCAGCACAATGTTTGCGGCAGACGAGGACATACAGGAAGGCCAGCTGGTTGTTTTCTTACTCCTCTACCGTAAATTGAATGTCCGGGAAGACGGCGTTGAGTTGTTCTTTGTATGTCAGCACCTGATCCCGTTCGATGACGACGAAGGTGTCATCCACATACCGAGCCCAAAATGTCCGTCTGTGGTGTCGGAAAACCAGCGACTGCAGCCGTCGTATGACCGCCTCGGCTATGAGTCCAGAAATAGGCGACCCCATTGGCGTTCCCTTCACCTGCTTGTAGATTGTTCCGTCGAACGTAAAATACGTCTTGAGACAGAACTTCAGGAGCTGGATGATTTGGGTGTGTCCCACGCGATTCTCCGTTTCGTCGTATTTCTCTCGTAGGAGTATTTCGATGGTCTCGACTGTCAGGTCCTGTGGTATAAAAGTAAAAAGGACGTGACATCAAAGGAAGCCATGACATCGCTTGGCAGAAGACTTACACCTTTAAGTTTCACCAAGAATTGCTTTGACGAGCTGACTGTGGTGTTCGAATCGGAGGTCAGAAACTTGAGACGTTGGAACAGCCACTTTGCCAGTCCGTAGGTTGGAGTGCCCTTTAGTGATACGATAGGCCGGAGAGGAGCGCCCACTTTGTGCACATTTGGGAGATCGTAGAATCGGGCTAGGGCCGTTTCTTGTGCTCTCGCCATGCGTCAGTCGATTGGCGATATTCCACCTGAGTTCTCCATTGCCAACAGCGTCGCGTTAATCTCGCGTGTCAGCGTTTTCAGGGGGTTGGATTCGCATGGGACAAAGGACTGACGATCCTCCAACAAGCTTTTGGCTTTTTGATTGTAGTCTGTTCTGTCCAATACGACCGTTGAACGCCCCTTGTCCGCAGGCAGGATAACGAGGTCGTTGTCGGACCTGAGTTCCTTAAGTGCATCGCCTCGACCTTGGAAAGCACGTCGCGCGGCCTATGAGCCATGAGGAGGGAGGACACTTGGTGCCGACACTTGGTATCGAGGAGCCTTTGAGTAATGTTCTTGCATTGAGTACACGGAGTACCCATCACCCTGATTAGGGATTTGAGGCGACATGTCTTCATCACTTGGGGTTGGCGTTGGCCATGCCAGGGAGAGCGCTTGTGCCAGGGTTTTCTGACAGCATAACACCGGATTCGCTAGCCGTATAGCCACTGCCTCGGCCGTTGCTAGTATCCGTTAGCGTAGGCCTTTAGAGAAGCGTGTTGGTGTCCGTTAGGCAACCTAAAATGCTTCCGTGGCTTGAACTCGGTGATCCGTATTGATTAAATGTGCGAGAATAGAGCCCGAAATCGGCTGGGTCTCACTTCCGTCTAGCCTAATGGGCATATGTCCACGTACTCCCTTAACCAGATGTCTCGTGATGCTAATTGATTGCGGATTCTATTAATAAATTCTGGTGGGTTCTATACCGATTGCTTAGGAAATCCTGGTAGGGCAATCAGTTAACTGTATTAGGATTGGCGGAGTCGGTACGTTGTGGTAGGTTTGGTGGGTAACTTGACTCAATAGTGGGATTAAAATCACGGCTGCCGGTCGGGATCTCGTAGCTCAGGTGGCCTGAGCGTTTGCTGTACTAAAGCCTCCTCCCTGCTTTCATGTGTTCGGATTCCACCAAGGTGCCGATTTTTTTTCACATTTACGTAAATATCGCTTGGTAAATTGGAAAGATTCACTAAGTCAGTGGGTTTAGAAAAATAAATACATGAATAATTGAAGTAGTATGCATTCCGAGATGATATGGTGAAAGGAGGAAGTCCGTCGGAAGTAGAGATTTACTCGTACATTTTCGAGCTGGTTGCACCAACCCGTCGTCAGACAAAATGGAAAGTGAGAGGTGGCATTGTCACACTGCTGGTTGAGGACGCAGACAGAGAGGTAAGCAGACGACCTTGCGAGGGCGAGGTGTGCATCTTGTTGTGATGGCTACAGGAGGTGAGGGTAGGTGTTGTGGGTCCCAGCTGTGGTTCACCG